CACCATGAGAGATGACATGGAAAATTCAAAATGGTATACACCCCTAGGGAATGCAAGAGAAAAAGTCATATATGAAAGATGGGAAATACAAATTCCCAATTAACCTTGAGTAAGATGGAGCAATTGTAGAGAGATCATTATGTACATAGAAGGATAGCAAGAAACTAGTAACAAGGCCCACTAACTCCTCGCCCACTATAAAGTGGAAATTTTCATAAGGACTAAAATCAAGGTGCAGACCCCATACAAAACCATGCTAATGTAGCGAAAAGAAATACATGGGCATATTTATAGACACGTGTACGCATCTAAAAACAATAACTACCTGACTCATTCTTTATTGTTAAATTCATATAATATCATTTTTCATAAAAAAAACTTTCGATTTATCCTATTATCTAAAACACTCATGCAGAAAAATGAATTTCCAGAATGTTTAGATGTACTCAAACCTTAACATTTCATGAAATACAACCACATACTCTTATCTTCATAGACCAATTATTTCCTTCCAATACCATTATATATACATTAATAAAGATTTTTCACATTAAGGATATATGTACTCGTAATATGATCGCAGAGAGTTGACATACCTTAAAATTTCATGAAATACAACCACATACTCTTATCTTCATAGACCAATTATTTCCTTCCAATACCATTATTTATACATTAATAAAGATTTTTCACATTAAGGATATATGTACTCGTAATATGATCGCAGAGAGTTGACATAATTTTGCTTCATGAAAAAGAACCAAATTGTGTTAGGATTTTACTATCTCTAAATTTGGGCCTAGAATAAAGGAATGGAATCGAACTTCAAGCCTACATATACGAAAAAGTAAAGTTCTCATTATTTTAGAAATATGGATAATTGTGTCCTTAAATCACCGTTCACCAACTCAAAAGATGTAGTAGCCTCAGCAAACTAATGAGTCAAAACATCTTAGACTCATCTGAGTCCATTCCGAGGTAAATAGAAGTAATTTTAAAATTCATGATTTCCTAAGAAAATGTCATAAATTTGAATAAGAATACAAACATTTAAAATATTGATAATTGCTAAAAACAACTTCCAATTTAGAATGTTTTATGAATGAAAATGCAAAAAAAATTGTGGATTATATATATAGAGAGAGGATATAAACATTTAATCACATAAAGAAGGGGCAAAAGAATGTGAGAAAAAAAAAAGTATAAAGCAAGGATGAAGTTAGATTCAGACCCACATTAGGGAAAGGACAAGCAAAGGAAGGCCATCCCTACAATATGAAAGATTATATTTAAATTATAATTTCTATCTAAAATACTAAGTGTTATAAAAAAATTAAAAAAAAAATGATAAAATTTGTAATCTCATGTTTCAAAGTTTTTACCATAAAAATTATTTCACCTTTATAAAAATAATACCAATATGTTTGGTAATTGGGCAGTTGTCCAAATGGGATGACACATAGCAAGCGGTTGGGAGGTAAGCCTTTGGACCAAAAATCAACTCATTTAACATTTTTATCATCATTGAGTCATCTAACTCGGATGATTCCATTTTGGTTGCACCTGAGCTATCATGCGATTTGCAATAACTTAGCCAATTATTAAAGAAATCGGATCATAAATATTATGAGTCCATTTGCTTCTGAACCACTCAAAAACTCAGGCAAGTGCCAGTTGAATCTCAGTCTACAAACTGTCTTTAATATGCCAGTATAGTTAGCATGATTATGCTTCAAGGAAAATAATTGACACATCACAATCTATACATAATAAAGGGCAACTGCATCCTACATATGTCTATTGGTACTCCTAACATAGAAAATTGCTTTTTCAAAGATAAAGAGAAATGCATTAATCTATGCCCTTATTAATTGACTCATTGATTGATTTAATTCCTTGGTCCTGGTGCAAAACTGGCACATGGAAATGAGAGATCCAGACCGATTCAGCCACAACAACATGTCGATCACATCGGTCGATCAACAAGAGGAAAACTTCCTCGATCATCATCAAGAAAGGGAAAGGAACAAGGGACTTTCCAGCCCTAACCATCCCACTATTCCTCGTAGGGTTACACCTCTACTGCTCAACACAAAGTAGGGGCCTTCTCTACTACAACAATGTAGGAGGCAATTTTGAATTTCAATAATCAAAATATCATCAACAGCTACTGGTTCTGTTGTAGTAATATGCAATGTATATGAACCCACTCATGGGCCCCAGACAAAAGCCAGTTGTTGAAAAAGGTAGAGACGGGCGCCCAGATCACTGGGCGACCATAAGGCATATTCTCCGTGGGTAGGAAGGGTTGGGGGGCATCTGTTTTACATATATACATGTATGTGTGTGTGTTAGTGAGGCCCTGTATCAAACACTTACAGGTCATCTGTTTTTTCTCTTATATGTAGAATGATTAGAGAGCACATAGGTACGTGTGTGCAAGAGAGAGGTCTCGTATCGAGCACCTGGAGAGGACATGTTCTTCTTTTCTTCTTATATGTACAGGGAGAGAATTTGATCCATGAGAGAGGGGCATCCGATCAAAGATTTAGATGTCATCTTCTTCTTTTTCTTTTTCTTATATGTAGAGAAAGAGCATATGGTCTATGTGTGTGTGTTTGTGTTTGTGTGTATGTGCGTGTGACAGAGAGCGAGAGAGAGGCCTCGCATTGAACACTTGGAGGTCATCGTCTTTTTCTTGTTGTTTTTATATATAGAGAGAGCACATGGGCCATGAGCAAGAGAGAAAAGGACCTTAACAATTTTCAAGGCCTTACCTATTTTTTTATTTTTTAAAAGGTCTTCTTTTTTTGGAAGGGTTTAAACTAGGCATTTGCCTTGAGCCCGCCTAGCGGACACCTAGGAACATATCCGCCTAGGGTACGGCACCCGCCTAGGCCTCTATTGTTTCCCCACCCACCCCCCCCCAGCTGCCTAGGCTGCAGGGCAGTTGAATTCTGGAACCTTGACAATAACTAAATACCGTTAACAAAATAAGAACATGAGTATACTAATACCACCATACCTGATTCCCCAAACAATAAAGATCAGCTGGCATGCAACCAAGTTCCGATGTTGCAAGTTCCCATTCATGCGACAACAAACCCATGCATAGGAATTTTACATCATTGACTCTTTGATTTATGGGAACTCAAAATAACATTACTCCACTTTGACTTATTGATTACATGAGGACCTAAAATACTCTATCCTGCCCTTGACTTTAAACTGGAAGCCAAAATAACCCCTCAATGACAAATTACAAAAGCCTACTTAACCAAATAAAAACACTCCCAACACATCCACTCAGCAAGTAACTAAGTTCCAGAAATGTCGCTACTTCAAATTCAAAAATATGAAATGCGGTTCGGCCATCCCCTTGATGCGATTTGCATCAAAAATCCATTATGTACAACTATTGGATGTCCTACACTTTAGTACTTTTTATAATATATTGTCAATACTCAACATTATTTAAGTTTTTATTTCTGAATAGATTTTGTATCTGGCTACACACATTCAGCATTTCAGTTCACTACATCCATATTTCCCATTTGTGCCTCGCATTTTTTATATCCTATCCTACACTTAAGTACTTTTTATGATATATTGTCAATACTCAACATCATTTAAGGTTTTATTTCTGAATAGATTTTGAATATGGCTATGCACATTCAGCATTTCAGTTCACTACATCCATATTTCCCATTTGTGCTTCGCATTTTTTATATCCTATCTATCCACAAGCCATCATGTCTATGATGAGAAACAAGAGTTCAATATATGTGAATAAATTATACATGAAGTGCACTCAGGAATACAAATTTTATTTCTTTTGCATTCCCAAGCAAAGCACACAACCCAAACTAGATGAACCTGATGGGACACCAGAGAGTCATGGCTGATAAGCATCAACAGCCAAACCAGTCCCACTATACTGCATTACGTATATAATGGCATTTGTGATTGAAATCAAGTATCCTAACAAAGTAATCCTTGAATAGCACATTGAAGAAGCTTGAGAAGGAAAATTAAACACAGAGCAGCTTTACAACACAAATTGTTCAAGAAAACAATTCAAGCTGTGATTACCTGATGATTGCCACACTGTTCACATGTAGAACATGGCACATATGTCACAGTGCTGCCTGAGTCCACTATAAGTGCAAATTCTTGAGGAGGAGTTCCAATCCAAATTCTGGTGGTATAATATCTGCCACACATTCACAATTCGATCAAGCACTTGAACTCAAACAAGCACCAGGGCCGAGTGACTAATGAAGTAACCATAATAAGCAGACAAGGTTAACTTGTAATTGTAAAAGAGAAGCTCATTTATACTGTGATAAAGTTTCATCGAGAAAAGGCAAAAGCCCAACTCGTAAGAAAATGAAACAAATCATAGAAGCCCCAACAATTTTGCAGCAATGAAGAACTACTTTTTTTTTTTTTGAGGAAACAATGAAGAACTACTTAATAGTAATAATTTGGACAAAGTGAAAGGAAAAGTCCACACTGTTAGAAGCCAAAATGTTTGAAAATAAAACACAGGTCCTTATGTGCCCCTCAAACTTGCAGCAATATGAATATGCAAAACTAAAACATACATGCAAGAGCATAGAAATTCAAATTTGACTTCTAACAATAAGGATCCTTAAGGGGCATGTATCAGGCATATCACACTTCCAAGTTTTTCATAGAGAGAACCAACGCCCCAAACTTTTGAAAAAACCTGTTAAACTCATAGAGGTCCTCAGTTTGCAGCAAGACAAACATATAAAATTAACCACAATTCCTAGTGAACCAACATGAACATAATCGATTCAACTGGTCGTGTGCTCAACATGAGCTTGGGGTCATAACGGAATGCTTTTCAAATAGAAAACAATTAATCTGAAATCCCTGAAATCATCTAGAACTAGCCCATAATCGCCACCTCACAAACAAACTACAACGATAGATTTCCAAAAAACAGAAAATAAAGGAAGAAAAAACTCTCCCCCCAAAAACAAAGGCAACCAATTTCCAAAACCCAAAATTGACACAAAACTTGAAATCTATTCCCTTTTTTTTTGGGTGGGAAGCTTTCTTCCAATTCAAGCAGAAAAACGGTACCCGTTAGTGAGCAGATCATCATAGAGCTTCATATGAGCATTGGATTTCAATGGCTCATTAGTCTGCAACCTCCTGTGCTGCTCCCCCAGCACAACGCGCTTTGAAGAATTGAACGACGAAAAAACTAGAGGCAAAACCATAGCAGAGCCATGATCAGATCGAATGACCCCCTTGAAATTCTCCAAATTTCCTCCACACAAGACCAGATCAAATATCAAAACCAGAAACAAGAAGAGGAGAAAATCCCAAGGGACCCTAGCCATGGTTGGTCGCATAGAAGGGGGTGTGATTTAGGGTTTCATGGGGTGGAAGACAATTAGAGTTTCATAGAATTATGGTTTCTTGTGAATTATGATTTCATGATGCAGGAAGAGAAAGGTACAAGCGAGCGAACTCGCGTAATAGACAAGGTAGAGAGAGAGAGTCTTAATGGAGTCGTCGACGATTTCGTAGCCATTATCGTTGACCAAAACCTATTTTAACCGTTCCAGAATTCATAACATTCTGTCTCTCTGGAAATAATTAAGAGTTTCAGTATTGATGGTTCTCCACTCTTGCATTTTTTTTTGTTTAGAGGATCTGCCTTGGTTCTTTTTCGTCTCGATCGGTATATTCAAACAGCTTTTTGATATTTTCCTTGTTTTAGGCGCGACAATGTACGCCCGCAGGAGAACATTGTGCATCTGTCAAACCACCGTCTCTAGAATTTGGAAAGTTGTGTATGCTCAAAGCTCATCTCTACCCCCCTTAAAATTATTAGAAATATCTCCAGTATTTTTCAGGATTGAAATTTTTTTAAAACATTTTGTTTTTTATATTTAGGATTGTATACTATGAGACTATTTATCTTGATGAAATATATCTTGATAGGTAAATCTTGTCATTTGGTATGGTTGAACCTTTATATATTTATAACAACTTTCTCTTCTTCTTTACAAGTTAATGTATCTTGGATATAAAGAGATCACAATTATTTATGGGATTGTATAAAATGAGACGATTTACCTTTTACATGAGGTGGTCATAATTATGTACAATCAGTGGTTTAAAAAACATATCGGTGCCCCGGATTAAGAACCCCAAAAACCCATCTAGATCGGTGAACCGGCGTCTAGGATCGGGAATCGGCCGAATAAGTCGAATTCGACCTTAAAAGAAATTCAAAAAAAATATTAAAAATAATTATAAATATTATTTTTAGAAATCCAACAAGAAATGAAGGTATTGCATTAATAACTTTTATTTTTTTGTATCAATATATGAATATTGAGATGTTCTTTTCTGTATGAAGATTCTCATTAAACATTTATTAAAACCTAACTAAATACAATATTATACATTGAAATTAGAATTATTGGTTTGTATTTTATCATCATTTTACTATACAAATAAGAATAAATTTGAAATTTGTCTTATAATATCATCTAATTTAAAAATCTAATTTACAACTATAACAAAAAATAATACATTGCATAATCTATAATGTAAATAAAATAATAAATAAAATATAAGATTTGATTATCATTGTAATTAGTATAATTATTAATTATAATAATATAATAAATGTGATTCGAAAAACAAGAGATGACCCTTACAAATAAATAAATCTAATATATAATAATTAGCGTTGATAGAAATATAGAATTTAGTAACATAAATTTGAAATCATAATAAAATTAAGAAAATAAATAAAGAAATTCACTTTTGCAATGTGGGATAATTGATAATGAAATTCATCTTGAAATAAATTCTAAAGTGGTATGAGCTAGTGTTATTTTTCTCTCTTAAAATATCTCATAAACTAGCATTTTTTTTAATGTTCAATAAACTAGTATTAGTATTATTTTTTGCTTTTTTTTAATATACTATGAGCTAGTACCAATTTTTTTAAATATCCTATGAGCTAGTACCAATTTTTTTAATTCCAATTAGCTAATAGCTTAATACTATTAGTCTTTTTTTTTTTTTGGATATGTAAATTTAATATTTTTGGTGAAGGATAGGGGTGGTGGGCCCTATCAACCAATTATTATTTTTAATAATTTTCCTCCTCTTTAAATTAATATTCTTAAATTTCTGCTAAGGGCCACCATGTTATAAAAAATAAAAAAATAAAATTTTATATATATATATATATATAATTATGCTATTTATTTCTTGGTCCAGAGCTAGGTCCGAACCTTTTAAACCTAGCCTTTTAATATTAGTGATAAAGAGCCATAACTAATGCCATTCATTATATATGAGAGAGAGAGAGAAAGAGCTAATGCTGCATAGGGTGAATGGGACAAAATGTCCCACATCGAACATATAGAACAAGTTTATGTATAAACCCTCCTCATTAGCGTTCTCAAGTGTGTGCTTGAAAGCATAAATGGTTGATAGGGGCTTGTTTTTTTGGGGGCCGCAAACAACAAGATAGGGGTACCTCCTCAAGCAAGGGCACGTAGGATTTGCCCCCAAAAACAATTACAAAAACACCTTCCAACTTCAAAAAATTTACAAAAACAACGCCCTCCGAAAAATTACAAAAATGCCCTATATACTTTGAAAAAAAAAGTGTGATGGTCGAATTTCGTTTTATGGCTGGATCTAGAACGGTCTAGCCTATACCCAAATCCAGATCTCCCGATTTCGGATCGAATCAACGACTTTTTGAACAATGTGTACAACCATCCAATGTAAAATATGAAAGCTTGGGTGTATCACACAGTTCAAAAAAATTTCTTTTGAAGTTTGAATTTGGTCACTAGAATAAATGCAACCATCTAATTTCACATCCGATGGTGACGATTAATTGTGACCACCTTGTACCAAAGATAAATGGTCATGCTTTTCCATTACTTATAGCATCATGTAAAATCTAATAGTTTTGGTGTGTCACAAATTTTGAGTCTTTTCTCTAAAACATTGAAGCATTTGCCCCAATTTTAAAGAAATTACAAAAACACCCTCCTGACTTTTAAAAATTACAAAAATACCCTCCTGACTTTAAAAACTTACAAAAATGCCCTCCAGACTTTGAAAAAAATGGTGTCACAGTCGAATCCCGTTTTATGGCTGGGTTCTGAATGGTCTAGCCGATACCTGATCCGATCGCTCGATTCCGAATCTGATCGGCAACTTTTTGAACACTGTGTATAATCATCCGATGTGAAATCTGAAAGCTTGGGTGTGTCACAAAGTTTAAAAAATTTTCTTTTGAAGTTTGAACTTGATCAATGGAATAAATGCAACCATCTAATTTTACATCCAATGGTCAAGATTAATTGTGATCACCTTGTACCAAAGATAAATGGTCTCATTGTATACTTTTTTCATTACTTATAGCATCAAATGTAAAATTTAATAGTTTGGGTGTGTCACAAAATTTGAAAAAAAAAATTTAAACATTGAACTTGGTCAATGGAATAAATGCAACCACTCAATTTCACATCTAATTGTGAAGATTAATTGTGACTACATTATATCAAAAGTTGATGGTCTCATTGTATATTTTCCCTTATATTTATGTCCAACTATTTTAAGGATAGTGATGTATTTTAACTTTATTACTTTCTATATTCATTAGATTAAGCTTCAATTTTGGGTGTGTATACTTCTCGTTATAAAAAGAACAAAAAATATAAAATAATCTTCTAATTTATATATTTTTATTTTTGACAAATAGGTGATGAAAAACATTAACTCATAAAATTTGAGTTTAATCTGATGCATAGAAAAATAATAAAATTAAATATAATATGCACTCTAAGTAGGTAGGTAGGTTACGAGCGTAAAATATGAATGTTGGTGGAGTTTTTTTAATTGTGCAACATATAGGAGATATCTAGATATACTATATTATTAAGCCAGAGTTAAGGGGCGGAAATGTGTAGCAAAAATAAGAATGGGCCCTAATTTTATAGAGATTGTAGGACACATTCCTCACTTTAGGGGAAGAGCGACTAAAATTTGTATATGAAGAGTAGCGAAAAAGAGAATCTCTACCATTTCCTAATCGTGAAGAGTAGAGATTTTAGTAAGAGAGAGAAAGAAAGTAGAGATGTCATGAAGAGAGAGAGAGGAGATTGTTTCCATATATTATTGAAAAATAAGAGATTTTTTTTATCCTACAGTTTCCTAATTTTTTTGTGTGAAGAATACAAAAAAGAGAATCTCCACCATTTCCTAACATTTTTATGCGTGAAGAGTAGAGATTTAGAAAGAGAGAGAAATACATTATTTCCATATCTTAATTTGAGAAGTAGGATATATTTTTTCCCTATTTTTTAGTTCAAACTTCCTAAAATGGGTACATATTCTCAACTCAAATTCAAAAGAAAGAAAGATATGCACATATTCTAAGATTTGTTTGAGTGAAGAGTAGAGATTTTAGGAGAAGAGGGAGAAAGTAGAGATTTTAAGAAGAGAGAGATTGTTTGCATATCTTAATTTGAGAAATAGGAGATTTTTTTCCCTTTTTTTTTGTTTAAACTTCCTAAAATGGGTACCTATCCCCAACTTAAAATCGAGAGAGAAAGATATGCATACATATCTAAAATTGTTTCCATACCCAAGAGGATACCCCATCCAAGCATGATGACCTCTATCAATACATGCACGCCCTGAAAGAAAGACTAATGCGATCTTACCGGAGAATTTTTTTTTTTTTTTCTTCCTTTCACCCCTTTTCTTTTCTTTTGGCAAAAATCACTTACAAGTAATCTTATTACAATAATTCTTGCTTAAAAAAAAAATAAACTAACAAATCCAAGATCTTAAAAACCTTGATGCCATTAAACCGATTTTCTTTAAACAAAGAAAATATCCACAATTCTTATGCTTGGGAATATAAAGACATTATAATTAAATATGACAAAAAACAAAAATAGAGTGTCGGAGACTACTTCAATCGGGCTTATTGCACCCGACACTGAGTCACCACCTTCCAATGGTACTGGATCAATAATCAACCTTCCTTCTCAACCAGGATAACAAGTTTAGGCCAAGCAACACTAATAGAATATGAACCCCTTTGATTACTAACTCAGACCCTAGGTGAATTCCCTTAGCAACCTAGTTTGAGAGATATGGATTCTCTTTTTGATATACCTTAATACCCTTAGCCATAAATCCATAGTTGAGAGATTGAAGAGCGAAGAACCCCATGACCTAAACCCTTAGCCCCTTTTTTTGACAATGTGGGAGGGAGAGAGATCAAAGACGAGAGAGTGGGAAGCGCGTCCTTTGGGCTTTTATGAGAGAGAGAGAGAGAGCAATTTTCTTAAGAGATATATAAAGGCAAGGTGTTGAGATTTTGGGTTGAGACAATCCATTTTTATAAGTTTTGAACAAGATTAGGGTTTCCTAGGGTTTTCATTTACTTGCCTCTTCATATAAGATTGAATATGAACCATTGACAATGGGTGACTTATGGAGGGAGAGATTTGAGTCATCCATTCCATAGATGTGTCATCAACATTATGGAAGGTGTTAGATCATTTATCCCCATTTTTTAAACTATTTTCTCATCAATAGAAATTAAATAAAATAATTTCAAATATAATATTTTATATACCAAAATAAAGCACAAACCTTCTCATGCTTTCC